TCGATTCCTACGGATCTCTACTGTTCGATCCATGGATCAATTCAGAGGAGAGAGCGAGACTGGTCTTGTACAGAGAGTGTAATTGAATAAAATATCTAACGCCGGCTCGATCGAATACCGAGCTTGATTGCCATCGAGTACACTGATGTATGTAAGTCACACGTGTACGCCTAGAGGCAACTTGCATCGACGCTCTAAATCCATTAAATATATGAATTTCAAAGAGAATTTCAAATCAACTTTGTTCCAATTTTCATGGAATACTAGGAGGATCACCCAGTGATGATCAGTTTCAAATATAGGGCGCAGTTACTCTTGTTCATAAATTCATAATCTTCGATTTCCAATATTTCGAAATTTCAAAGTTTTAGAATTCCCAAATTTCAAATTTCAAAAATTTCAGAATCCCCAAGTTTTAGATTTCTAAAATTCCAAAAAAGCCCAAAATAGCAAAACTTCATATTCTGTTATTGTAACTACTACGATTAGAATAACAGAAGAAAGTACATAATTATCTACCATTACTTTTATAGTTGACAATACATTATTATAGTTCAGCACTATTATAATACATATTACTATATTAGCATGAATGGTAAATGGAACCTATATAATAGTGTACATTTATGTCGTTAAAATTCAATAAACAAACATTATTATTATTATTACCTCTTGGCCAGTAAAAGTAATCTGCTTATGATAATAAATCATATTCACGATTGAACGTGTAATTCAGGTGATAGTTATAAAAAATGAAAAAAATATTCCACATTTATGGTTCTTTCCAATATGAAATTCATAGTTTAGCATTTGAAGATCACGTACAAACGTGACTCTCTTCTTCGCTAGAACACGAACTGCAGCAGTTTCTTCCTGTTATTAAAAGAAATTGCTATTCCAGTCTGATATCTTCGCGGATGTGTAGTCATCGGACCATTGCAACTTTCTGATCTTCTCGTTTACAGATTCTTGATACGGTAAATCAATGTAAGAATGTGTAAAGATGAAACGATGGAATGCTTTCTTTCAAATGTGATTTAAAAAAGATTTCTGGTAATGCTGGGGCTATCGAACCTTCGAAGGCCCCCGTTAATGGATAAACTTGGTTCAGAAACTGAAATTTATTCCAAATAAATTGAAATACTTTTCATCGTAAAGAAAAGAGCAATAATAAAAACAATTCCATTCAGTATTTTTTGACAATAGGGTTCGGAGCTGTAGCCAACAATAACAATTATGTGAAAAATTGAAATTAGTATAACTTCTGGAAAATAAATTTTCAATAAAAATAAAAATTAATTGGCATATCTAATAATTGAACAAAATCATAGGAAAAGAAATGAATTATACTAGGTGATAATCATCAATGTACATATTATTTTATTAATAATGCTTATCTGTATCATATTGTTTATATTTTTAACGCATCTTTGTGCGATTAGAAAATAGGAAGTGAGGAGCGTTGAAAATTTTATTTTGCTCTCATGTAAACTGTACTTTACCCGATAACGTTTAAGTGTATTTCCTTGTCAGTTAAATCAGAACAACAGGTGCAATTTTTTATCAGGCTCAACTGTTGTAAATCTTGAGATAAATTATTATAAAAATATTGAAAATAAATTACCATTCAGAATAGATAAAGAAACCTTACACCTTTTGTTAGATATTAGGAAGTGAATAGCTATGCTGAGATTTCGTATGTAGTCTATCCTTTATCAGATAAAATATAAGTATATTTCCTTGTTGGTTAAAGGATACCCTGTAAATGCAAAAGTGCTCGATATAGGCAGAGGAGAGTTGCAAAACGTATTGCTCTTCCGTTTCTCAACCGAGGAACAGGTTGCCTCGATTTCACACTGCCACTGATTCCATCTATCATCTGGTGCTTATTAAACTTTTACCTTTAAGGTCGCTCAGACTCATTTCAAGCTGACCTTTCATGGTTCATCATTCGCTCAATCATTTCTTTTTTTTTTTATAACTTTCTCGTATCTGAAAACTGTGAGAATTTTATTTTGGATGGAATAAAATCATTATTTTTATTAACCCTTCAATTTCAAAAAATGTCGTCGAAGGCAAACAATTAATAATGTATAATAAAATCCCCAAAAATATGATTGCGCTACTGCTTTATTCTATAGAACTTTTATAATAGTTTTCCTCTGCCTTAATTATAAACACACTTAATCTACATGTAATTACCTACGGTCACCCGTATCGTAACGAATGCATATACGAAAGTAACCCAAAGAAATTGATTTTCTTTTACTAAACGACCCAATTCTTATTATTAATAACCTGGTTTCTAGAAAATCCACCGTTGGAAAACGTGTATTTTATTGCAGTGACTAGTATATATAGATATAGTCAGTAGTGGCTGAAATGATGATTCTTTGAATAAACGAGGAAGAGACTGGTAAAACAACGTTGATGACATGTTGGCTTGTGATGTTAATTACTTCCTTCATTAGCAATGTCAATGTTGAATCAAAACATTTATGTTTTTCTCGTGCATTAGCTAATGCATCTTGATGATATACAAATTGAAGATGAAATTTCATGATAATATTTTTAAGGAATGTCATTTATTTAACTATGAGAGAAATCAACCTAATTAATATGTATGTTAATATAATTCATTGACATAACTAGTTCAAAGCTAGAATCCCTTCCTCCCCCGCCCCAATTGGGTAAAATACATTGCCATTTTAAAATTGTAAGAATCTAAAATTTTGGAATTTCAAAGTGACGGAATTCAAAAATTCAAGAATTCCAAAATGGTAGAGTTTTAAAACTTCAAAATTCCAGAATACCAAAATTTTAGAATCCAAAAATTCCAGAGCTCCAAAATAACAGAACTTCAGAAACAAAAAATTCCAGGATTTCAAAATTTTAGATTTTTAAAATTCTAGAATTTAAAAATTTCTAAAATTTACACCAGAAAAATCCCAGTTATACGATAATGCTATGGGCCCAAGTTGCCTCTATCTCAATTATCATGTTAGTCTCTCCGGGATTAATAAAACGGATTAAAGAACTCGTAACAAGTAGAGAAACGATAGTATAGTTTCAGTGAAATGGCGATCGATGATGAGCGAACGTATCAAAGATGATCACGATCGGCTGTCGAGTCACGTTTACGGAAGATTTATTGAATGATCAGGCAAAATTAACGGAAGTAGGTTACGGAAGGGGTGAAAAGTCTTTCGGTACCTTCACAAGCCGCGAGATGATACGAAGACGTTACGAAAGTATTGGATATCTCATACTTTCGCTCCATTTCAAATTTAATATGATTATACGCGAAACATATAATTACAGGAATGATGAAGGAAATTACGTATGATAATTCGTATGATCTCACGTGTCACCTACTTTCACGCTGGTTCTGTACGTTTCTTATTGATCGATACCTTGGTGAAAAGCATTTGTGTGCTTGATGAAAAGATTTCCGGTTTCAAAGAAAATATATGTATGTACATTATCGAGGAAAGTAGGCTTCTTTTGGGAAAATGGCATTATAGAATAAACAATTGATTAAAAAGTTGTATATAAAAATTGTTTCTATTTTTTTAAATTACTTGATTCAAATATTTGACCGGTTACCTTTAATTAGGAAATTTTCAATTCTAAACCATCGCTAAAAGAAAGGGTTCATTATTATTATTATAGAATAATGTTTCAAGGTAGTTACTATAATGGTAAATGCACTAATAACAGTGCTAATGCCTTTTCTGAAGCCTCTCAGTGACCTTCGATTCTTTTAGGAACCTGACAGCGATACACATGATTCTATCGCGAACGGATTACGTTGGACGTTACGACATTCCCATGTTCCGTCACAAGTAGTGATGGGATCAACCGCAATCCGTACATATAAAAATTAATTCAAACAATAAAATATATATAATTTCAAATGAAAGAATTTTTTAAAAATTCAGGTCTATAACAAAAATAACATAAATTTTTATAAATTCACAAAATGAACAATTTTATCGATAAAACAGTTAAAAAGTAAAACTATGAAATGTAAAGTATGCATTTCATTTCACTATAATTAAATTGTAATCAAAGTTTTATCAAAGGCGCAACTAGTTAGTTCCTAGTAATTTAGTGAAAATCAAGCGATTAAAGTTGCCCTAGATATTTCTCTGCGGCGGTGAGAGGCAATTCGATCAAACTTGTGTTAACGAAAGTTACCTAAAGACTAACTACTTTAGGTGCGAAAGTGGTAGCAGTTTAAATAGTTAAACACATTCAAAAAATTGATTTCTCAAGAAATGATCAATGCTTGTAAGCAAAATTGAACAAATTATTAGAATAAATAGATATGCAATAGTACGAAAGCACTAAATTTTAATATCAGCAATCTTCTCATTAGATATCATAATTTCTATCTACAGTTTCTCAAATCTCACAGCGTTTCAATATGTATCTGCATAATTATAATCTCGTGCATAGGAATGCTTACTGTCTATATGTACATATACAATCAGTCTTCATTAGAATTACGTGTGAAAATTAGTGATGGTGGGTAGGCAGATATATTGAGTATCGGAAAAAATCGGTTTCGTTCGAGTGAGAGCCCAAAAGTATTTTACCTCCCAAATTTTTCTACCCCCCTCCCCGTGTGCGTAATCCCTGGTGAAAATATAATATATTGGAATTGAATATACGACGCTTTGTCAATATTGATTTCCGTCTGCAGTCAATAGTCGGTCATTTGGAGCGGTGCATACAAGTGAAGCATGAATATGTAAAGAAGCACGCTAGGTTCATTAGAGCACGCTATCGAGGAATAAAGCATTAAGACAAGAGGAGCAATTAACGCAGCCACTCTCTCGGCCGTGTTGAACACGTAAACGTGGGGGCAGCCTAAATCGTCGATACACGTCGCGTCGATAGCGCGAGCACACAGACACACCCACACAGGCACTTAATCCCTGTCTCTCTCCTCCCGTCTCCCGCCCGGCGTGGCATCGCATTGTCGGCGCAGACGCCGTGGCAGCGCTTATTGATCGTGGCTCGGTGGTGCTCGGTTGTCCCTGCACGCGTCATGCGTCGTCGTCTTTCGCGACGTAGCGACGGTGCTGGATGGGGGATTTTCCTACGTTTCCGTCTTGTTCGTTAAGTGCGAGGTAGCGACAACGCAACGGTGCCAATGATAGCAGACGTGTATACTTTCGGTTCGTAGTGCGCGTAGTTCGTTGGACGTTCGAACGGTCAACGATCAAGGATTCCGGCGGGATGCGCGATTGACAGATACGTCCGATTGTAGTAGTGTGAATCGAACAGCCGCCTGGTTCAGCCGCTTGGAAAAACGGAAGGATTCTCCTCGCGGCGAAATCGTCGAGGATTGTAAACGATATCGCGATCATTCTTTTCGCGACGAGTGAAAGTGATCGGCGACGAAGCGTTCTCAAGTCGGCCGGATGCTCAGCCGACAGGTGCGTTAGGAAAGGTTCGCTCGGTATACCGGGCGGCCAATACTCGCTCGCGATTGGCTTGTCCATTAGAACTAGCCGTCGTTCGACCAATCGCATCACGCGTATGGGCTAGGCGGCTTTTTCGCGATTCCGACTGACTTCATTCCGGTTCGGGGATAACAACTTTGAAAAGGAAACATGAGTCTGCTGTCTTCCTCCTTTGGCAGCGTCCACTGCCTCGCGGACGAGGATGCCGATAACAATATGCTTCAAGGTAAATTTCACTGACAACTTTGTCGATACTATTTATTTCAGGATCACGCCCAAGGTCGCGCTGCAGCTGCAACCGCGACTCCTCCAAATTGTCGAATAGCTTTTCATGGCTGACCTCGAGACGCGATCAATATCTTTGTATATATACGTATGTGTATACTTATTCCATTTCAAACGTGCTTTCGTTTAGAAAACAAGAACAAAAAGATTCTTGATTTTCGAAAGAGACGACCAGTATCGCGATCAATATTCCTCCGAGTCGGTTCTTTGCAGACGACTTTGACAGTCCGAAACGATGACTCATGGACACGGTTCATGCCTTGAATAGTTACTGCAGCTGCATCGACACCTTAAGTGTGCATACCATCTCTTATTATTAACAATTAAACGATAGCAAAACTTTCATAATTTTTGGTAGTTTCATAATAACTATTTTTAACTGATGAGCCTTGAAAAGATAGATGTCTTATTTTTTTGTCGGTTTTTTCTTTTTCTTTTTTGAAACTTATATTTCATAAAAAAATTATCGGTTACTTACTGGCTATTCAACCTTTGATCACTTAGGTGGCATAACAGTTGCGTTACGCGATAAGTTCATTTTTAAACGATCATCTTTTTTCCTAATCATCTGCGAAAAATATATTTTATTTATAATATTATGTAAAAAAATTGTCTTTTGAAATGAATGTTTCGATGCGAACAGACATGCGCATTAATACCGATCTCGAATGTTCTTGAATATTCTCTTAATTTCATTAAATTATTTATTATTTCTCAACAAATATGATGAAATAAAACATAAAAAAAGATTTTCTCTATTAAAGATCAATTTTTTAATTCGAAACGTGTAAATGAAATTAAATCTATAATGGAACTGTTTGATGAACGGAAAAATACCGATTTCTCGTCACTATTTTTTAACCTTAAAATAAAAAATGAGACGTTATTTTCCATTCCGTTGTCTTTATCGCAGAAGTTTCTACTGATAAAGACGTACAGCAGGCGTGACAACGAATAACCTTCCAACGTATGTGTTCTAATTAAAAGAAATTTTATCTTATGACCGCATCCGTTAAACTCACTTTTTCCTCGCACGATTTGTATATATTCGGGTCTTGTTATAAAATCTGTAGCAGTTAGAATTTTTTATTTAATACACTAATCTTCATACTAGTCAGACATGATATAATGGTCCAATTTGCTATTTTAGATTATTAGTTTTTTACTTATAATCAGTTTAAAATGGCGCTATATTAGAACCCACTTTCTTTTAAACACATAGTGTATGACGCATATGGTGCGTCGTCACTTATACAGGATACACAGCGTATGACGCAAACGGTGCGTCATGATTTATATTCAATAGGAAATGCATGTTGGACTCGCAAGGAGCATCAATAGTTTCGGACACGATTAAATATCCATAGTACCATTTTATCTCGTTTTTCACACGAAATTGTGTGTAGTAAAATAATGCTAATTTTGAACAATTGTAGTCAATTACACGATGAATTGCTGAAGAAATTACGTGGTATAAGGTACATACGCATTATTCCTAACGAACGTTGCAATTAAAATGAGAAATTCTTCTAATGTTATTATGGGTTGTCGTAAGTGACATAGTAATTATTGCAACCGGATATGGTAACCGTTGAGCGTGTGTTCGAACATTTAAATATTCGTCCTTGATATCGATAGTGAGATTGATAGATATTCAAGGTGTAGTTAAAGAACAATGATCTTTGTCTTATAATATGGTTCGGTCTTTCTCTTTATTGATTTTTGGCGTTCTGTTTCCTCTTCTTTCTTCATGTTCTAGAAAAAGCATCTCTGGCGACAGTGGTGCTTGCTAATCAATAATACGCTTCAACATTTTTCGTCGTTATTTTCTTAACAAAAGAGAAGCTGAATAAACTTTGCAAATAAAATAAAGATAAAAAGTGGAAAATTTACTATAAAGTGTTATATTTTGAATCGATTGCTATTTAGAATTATAATAGATATATTTATTAACATTTAAGAGTTGTGATAAGTATTTAAAACGAGTAGAACAAATTCTAATGCTTAATTGTATAAAATTGCAATTATACAACAATTATACATATCTCAATTATATCTATTTATAATTGGTAGTTAAATTATAATTTCCCTTAACTTGTCTATGAAAAACCTTGGGTAGTGAGTAAAATCACGGTGGTTTTATGAAATTAATTAAAAAGCAGTAAGTGATTAATGCAAACGAGTCGCACCATTACCGGTCGTGTTTTGCTCTTTTCTTATTAAGAGCCAGGCATACCTAACGTCACGTGGCGTTGGAAGGAAGTGGCTGTGCATACTTATGATATTTGCTTCAGGCTCTTAGCATACCATCGACTAACCCTTATTGCAAAAATGAAAGTATCTGGGGCAGAAATAATGCACGTACTCTATCTTTACTGTCTATTAACTGTATAAAATGTTGACTGTACTCAAACTACTTGAAACTAGTATCATTTAGAATCATTAAAATTATTTTGTTTATTAAAAATATTTCGTTTTACCGTGCTTTTTTTATTATAGAAAATTTTGAGCTGAATATTTGGTATTTTATATTGAAGGTATTAGTGCATGTAACAGGAAGGGCGCAGTTTTTTCAGCGTGTTGCCATGAGATACACCCTTCAAGGTTTCCCTAAAATCGTATAGGGATCAATAATCTGCAGTACGTGCATAGAATTCAGTATCAATGTCATAAAGAAGAACACTGACTAATACTACATTCTAATAATATTAATAATTACATAGCAATTGTTGAATTAACAAAACTATTGATAGTACAAATATTTTGAAAAATTTCAAATTCAGTTTTCTGGGAAACCAAACTACATGTATTTAAAAATTTTATTTTACATTTTTAACTTATTTTTGCATATAAAACCTTCAGTAAAAGAAAACTCTGAAAACATTCAAGTAGAAGTCGTAAAAAACGTATAAACGTATGAAAGATCGTATAGATCGAGTTACGGGCAAATAAATTTCGTAATAGAGGTGTTTAACAAGGATTCGTTGCTGCATCGAATGTTACAGTTACCGGAAATTGGTTCTTGTAGAAGTGAAACCCTTCCCGTCTGACTACCATTAGACAGCCTCTTCCGGTAAACAATAGCATATCTCTATCAGTTATAGCTAACATTCTAATTAATACATTAATTATATTTACAATAGTGTAACATAATAACTAATGTATAAAACAATTGTTAAGATATTCCACAGAAAAAGAAGATTGGCTAAGAAAGGTAACGGTTGATATTGTTAATAATGATATAACCTTTCTCACCAATTTACAGTAAATCTAGCATAATTTACCAAGATAAATTATCTTATCTTGAGTGATCAGTACATTTTAATACCTCGGGACGTTGTTCATTGAACTTTATACTTAGACTGATTTATCTTTTCTGCGTCAATTGGATTAATTATCAGTTATTATCAAAATTTGATTCTTTTTATAAATTCTAGTAGATTGCATTACATGTTGATGTACTTTCGCAATGTTTTCCATAATCCCAAAATCCCGATTCCAAACATCAATAATTAAAAAATTTGTACACTCCAAAATTCTGAAATTAAAGAATTCCAAAATTCCAAACTTTTATAATTCCAAAATTATAAAATTTTAGAATCTGACTCTATTAGTAAAATCAGGGACCTGACACATTCCAATTAAAAGTGCTAGTTACGCCAATGGTAGCAAATGTATCTGGTTAATCTAAAGAGTCCCAGATTAACCCTTCTTCGGATTATGAGGGTTACTATAACCCTGCAAATTTCTTTTGAATTAACAAGTACTGTATACCTAGTGAAAGGTTCCGTTATGATCATCTGCAAGGAAACATGATTTTCAAACGAAGACATATCGAAATATTTACCATCGTTAGATTCCGTAAGTCTAAACGAGCCATTGGCAGCTGTTGAAATAATTACACCGTTAACGGAGCTTCGAATAAATTAGCTGCAAAGACCGTAACTTGTACAAGGAACGCGTTTATTGGTTAGAAAAATATTGCTCGTCTAAGCGCGGTTCTTCGAAAGGGGAGAAAGGAAATCAAACTTTCTCGTTGGAAACACGACATACAATCAAAATATTATACATGCTTGCCTCCAACCGCAATGCACCGGTAATACAATCTCTCTTACATTGACTTCTGTTCGTTGTTCGACACGAACTACCTTATAAATTACACTTTAGTTCTGCACTGCTTCAGCTTCACTTCAGTGAATCGTCTTTTTGTTGAATAAAATATTTATTCGATAACTAGCGCTTATTCTCATCATTTCGTAAAATTGCTCACTCTATTAAAATTAAATTACTCTATTTAAATTAACCATTTAAATATACAGCAACTTAATATCACCATTCAATTCTTGAAACATCTATCTCCTTTGTCAACTGTAGCAGCATGCATCCACTACACTTGTAAGTTAATATGAATAACATGCTATACAAAGCGGTATTAACGTGGAAAGCATCAAGCATTTTCTGCACGAGTCGTGTTACAACAAGGGCTTTTGTTATACGATACTATGCGAGCTAGCTATATATATTAACATCACGTCTGGTTTCTCTGCACGAAAATGAGTAGGCGTTGAAATGCGTGTACTTACATGTTGCATCGTGAGTTGCGTGAATCGAGCCGGTTAGAGTTTTGTTGAAAATCACTCGGGAATAGATCTTCCCTCGAACGACTATAATTTGTTTTAGGTGAATTTAATCAACTCGGAGAGATTTATTTTCTAGAAAGTTGACTTCGGACAACCCGATTCATACATCAGTTATATTTATTTTTATGGGAATGATTCCGTAAAATGTACGTGTTCATTTACAAGCATTAAGAAAATGCGATTTGAAAGTTGACAAAATTTGTTCTCATTAATACTTGTCTGCCTTATCATCTTTTAGGAAATGGTTATTCGTAGTGAAACAGGTTTTTATTATATGTCATTGTACAAGAATGCTGTGTAA